TTTCTACAATCCATTTTAGAGCATTTTTATCACTTCAAAAAAAATTCCTATTCCCCATTCTTCACCACCACCCTAGGCATTCCATTCTCAGCCCCAACAACCACTAATCTGTTTTCTATGTCTATAGATTTGCCAATTCTGGACATTTTATATACATTAAATCGTAAGATATGTGATCTTTTGTAATTAGCTTTTGTCATTCAGTGTAATTAATGTTTTTAAGGTTCAGCCATGTTGTAACATGTATCAAAACTTCATTTTTATTGCTAAGCAATATTCTATTGTATGGATATATAATATTTTTATCCAATCATTAGTTTAATGGACGTTTGAGTTGTTTTCACATTTGGCTGTTAAGAATAATGATAAAGCTGTGTATCGTGTCACACACCTGTAATCCCAGCAACTCAGAAGGCTGAGGCAGAACGATTCCAAGTTTGAGGTCAGTAATTTATTGAGGCTCTGACCAGCTTAGTGAGATTTGTTTCAAAATTAAAAGGGTCAGGGATGTATCTCAGTGTATACCCCTGGATTTAATCCCCAGTACCAAATAGGAAAAAAAGAAAGGCAAGGAAAGAAAAAAGAAAATAATGTTGTTGTGAATACTTGTGTGTATATCATTGTGTGGCCATATTTTCATTACTCTTGGGTAGAAATGAAAAGGAATTATTACCTAGAAAAGGAATTCCAGGGTAATATGGTAACTGCATTTTTAACATTTTGAGCAATTGTCACTGTTTTCCAAACAGGCTGCAGGATTTTACATTTCCACAGTCCCATAATGTATGGGCACTTCAATTTCTCTACATTCTTGCCAATATTTGTTATCTGTCTCTTTGGTTATTGTCATCTTAGTGGGTGTGAAGTGTTATCTCAGTATGGTTTTGAGTTGCATTTGTATAATGACAAATTGTGTTGAGCCTCTTTTTATGGCAAAATTTGTGTATCTTCATTGGAGAAAAGTGTATTTAAGTTCTTTGGCTATTTTTTTAATTGGGTTATTTGTCTCTTCATTGTTGATTTTCCATTGTCTTTTATCTTTTGAAGCCCTAAAGTTTTTTTATTTTTATTAATTTTGGTGCTAGGGGTTGAACCCAGGATTGCTTAATCACTGAGCCACATTCCCAGCCCTTTTCTTATTTTTTATTTT